GCATAAATGGTCCTTGTGGTGCTCTAGAGACCAGAGCGAGCTAGGGAGAGGATTGCATCTCTCAAACCAGAACCTGCAGTACATGAAACTGGTCTACATGTCATTACTCCATCTCCACAAGGCTGCAGCACAAAAAAAACAACAACTTTGTTATCAGCCCAAAATGGCAAAGCTTCAGACTCAATTGACAAGCAGCTGATTATACTGCTTTTTGTCACAAAGTACTTAGCAAAGATAAGATTTGTGAAGGAGCAACTAAATTATATTATTTAATTGTTTAATTATACCACTTACCTAAATTACTGTTAAGAAAAAAAAAAAAAAAAGATGACATGAGAGAGTAGCTCATTTTCTACTTTTCTGCTACTCTAGGTATTTTACACAGTGCACGTGCGTCTGTATTGCACATGTGTTGTAAAAATACAAAAAGCAGATTCATTGGGAACTTCTGTACTTAGTGCAGCAACAAATGAACACTAGGACACGCACCATCTGTGCAGAGCACAGAGCTTACATAAAACATACTGTCAAAATACTTGTGTTGGTAGTACACCGACTCCTCAACCTCATCAAGCATGCTTACCTGCTTCATGCCTAACCATTGGCTCCTGCTGTTTATCTTTGAGAACAGCAGTCAAAGTAGGAATGGCCCGTTTGTCCTGCATCTGTCCCAGGCAGTAAGCCAACTCGTGCTTCAGCAGGGCTGATTCATCAACGAAGGCTTTGCTGATCCATTCTATAGCTTCAGCACCTGACACACACAGATGACAGCTTGAATTAGTTCACCCAAAAATCACTACAGGCATTCAGTCACAGCAAATATATTGCAACCATGTGCAACAGCTGTGCTGTGATTTCAGTTTACATTAAAAAAGATCTCTCAGAGAAAAAAGAAAAAACTGAATGTCTTGTCTTTCAAACAGTACAGTGCTGCTTTCTGTGATTAAGCCAACCAGATGACGAGGAAAAGACTGGAGGCTGCAAGTCTGAGAGCAAGACGTTATTGCAAAGTTTAGGGATTTAAAGATTACTTTTTTTCCTGGGAGTTTTGTTGGAAAACATAGGGGCTACTAAAATATACTGAAAGGACAGAGAAACAACCACAACTACATTTGAAAAAAAAAGAAAAAAGAAGAAACTGAATGTGTGGGGTGACTCCCACCCCTACAAACCAATGTTGGAGTCCTAAATACTACTGCAAATCTTGAGTACTGGGCACATGGATTGCTGCTATTTTGTTACTTAGCTGAGTGCTTTTGTCATTTATCCAGTTTTTGAAAATAAAAAACTCTGTTCTGTGGTGTTTTACCTCCCAGGTTCCTCAGGGTAAATAAAGCTCTGAAGCGCTTGGTCAGGTCCTGTCTCGGGTCCACCAGATCCTGTCCTATTGATGCAACCTTCTCGACAGTAGCCATGCTGCTGGAAAGAGAGCAACACACTTATGACTCTTGGACCTGTAAACTTAGAGCAATGTGAAAGCTTTTTTGTCTCACTAATAGTTTAGTTGAGAAAATTATGTCTTATTTATGGTAAAAATCTAAAACTGCTAGGTGAAAACAAAACGGTTATATAGACTATAACTGAGACATATGAGGATTTTGACTAAATAACTCGAGTCCAGGCCAATATTAAAACCAGCTGCGGGGGATATTGTATTTAGATGTCGTTTCTGTTGACGGCCCGCTGCTAGCTCTGTACTTTACATGATGTATTATTGATATTTTTCACGCTTCTCTCCTTCCTGGTGGACACCGCTGTCACTTCACTACATTCCGGTGTCTCGCGCCTGAGTCGGGAGCACGCGCTGAGCACACCGGCTTCCACAAATAAACCATCGCCTATCATTGGCTGAACTCTTCCACAACTACATCACACGGTATTCACTAACGCCACCACACAACGGTGCCCAGTGTAAACATTGTCTAAACATACCAAGCTTCAGTATGTACAGTGTTTCACACACCTCCGTCACGGTCCCCACAGCACAATCCACGGACAGTCGCAGGAAGTGGTTGTGTCCTTCTTCTTTTTTGTTATTTTTGCTGGTGGTTGGAAAACTACGAAATTGTGTTTTGCCGCCACCAGCTGGTATGGAGTGTAGACTCAAATGTCGCTCCAAAAACAAAAAAACAGGGCTATTTAAGAACATAAACCACACACCTTTACAATATTTGGAATGGAGGTAGCAATAGAAAAAAAATCAAATAATGTTGTGTGTAACTTTTTTCTTTAGTCGGACAGATAAAATAAAAAAGAAGGTCATGCTATACAAGTGTAGCACAATTTACAGACAGTTGTACGGTTATTACTACTGTGAGGTTATGTCCTTCAAGTAAAAACGAGTACTTATTCACCTCAGTGTTCTAGAGGGGGTTATTGGGGGGCTATTTTCCTTGGAAATTTCACCTGATAGTCAAGGAATTTAAATAAAATAGAGTAAATTTATAATTAGTCAGTTTGCTGATAATATGCCTTTGTTGTTGTTGTTTTCAATTTTTTTTGTAAAAGAACTTATGATCTCTAAAGAAACAAAATTAATTTTCTCAAACGTATCTGGTCTGATTGTAAATGTTATGATATGTCAGATTTTAGCAATCTGCAATCTTGATTTAAATATTTTAATAAAGTATAAAGTATATCATAATAATAAAATGATCTGTTGTTGAAAGGAACATTTGAATACCACTCCTAGATTTCCTATTTAAGTGATTTGAAATTGAGGTTGACTCATGTAATTTTTTTGTACTTCTGAATGTGAAACTGGTGATCATCTCTATTTTAAATTGTCCTCATGTGAGTTTATTTTGGTCAGACATTTACAGTTGACTCTATCTGAAAATAGTCAACATTTCCATGCTTACTTATTGTTTCTTTTATGAGTGGGTTAAACAACAAATTTTCTGATACTGTTAATCTAATTATTATTCTGGGTAAATACCATTTTAATTCTTCTTAAAATCATCAATTAATGTAATCTGTCTAACTGCATGTCTTTGGACTGTGGGGGGAAGCTGGAGAACCAGAGGAGAATATGCAAGCTCCACACAGAAAGGCCCTAGCCAGATTGTGGATGTGAACCCAGGACCTTTTTGCTGTGACACAATAGTGCTAAACACTGTGTTGCCAAGCTCAAAATATGTATATGTAGATCCTTGCTCCTTTGACTCATTGTTAATTTTTTCTGCTGTTCTGTTTTTCTTTTCCGTTTTTTAATTTCTGCCATTTGAGCATTGGACCTTAGATGGTTAGGAAAAACTGTTGGCTGATGTTTTTGAACCCCATCTTTTGCTGATAATACAACAAACAAACAAAAAGATAGCTCTGCACTGCCAAGTGGGTCATTTGAAATGACCAACTGGATAGCACAGCATTCCCATTGGACTGGGTGTTGGATCCAGCTGGATAAGTGTCTTGTTTGGTCTAACTGTCCAAAAGTTTTGCCTCCTATATTGACCAGGAAGAGAAACTACGGGGTTTCAACCATGTTTTCTAGGATAGGATTTGTAAGCCTATATAATAAATATCAGGACTAAAGATACTTTAAAATGTTGTATTTTTTTAGTATCATACTTATAGTTAAATAAAAATATTTTCATTTTTGGACGTTTACTCGCAACTGCAACCACCCAAACGAGCAAGGCGCGAACACTCCTCCCAGTCGCAGGGGGCGCTGGAGACAATTCCATAGCCATCTTTTGTGGCGCTGTTTCTGTATCGCATTTCCTGTGCGTAGCAGCGGCAATGCAAGTGATTTTGGGGGAATTTAATATACCTTTTTCTGAAAAAGTAAAGAATTTGGCCGAGTTTTTACATACATATTCTGGCTAAGTGGTTCGCTGGAACAGAAGTTAAACATGGATATCCCCAGTCCTCCCGAAGGTGAGCCGTACACCACAGCTATTTTAAATTTCGATTCAACGTAAGCGAGCACCCATGCTATCTGCTACATAGCTAACAAAACCATTGGATTTAGCATATTGATTAAGGTCACCGATCACAAGTGGATGAATGCTTAACCAGGCTCTGTGTGTAAGCATTGAACCAACTAACGTGAGAAATGGTGTAGAAATAATCCAGTAATGGAGAGTAAACGTTAGTTGTTCCAACTTTTCACGGCTGCTGGCTTTTAAGAAAAAGAACCCCCCAAGAAAGAAGATCCCTTATAGATGTGTTTGTGCTACAGCAGCACGATTAAGAGTAGAATTACAGCCAACTGGTTTAATAATACTATGTAGAAATATGGAAATAATTAATGATTACGCAACCTCTTTCCTAGATATTTCTGTTTCAGAAGAAATTAATTATTTTCTAAATCTGTTTTATTTTTTTTTAAAAAAAGCACTTTAGACACTATTATTTCTGTCTGTTTCAGTGTCTCTGTTTTGTGGTTTTTACAACAACATTTTTCACTGTATTTATGTCTGTTTTTTTTTTTTTCTTTGTACAGATCAGGAGCTTCGAAATGTGATTGATAAGCTGGCCCAATTTGTTGCCCGAAATGGCCCAGAGTTTGAGAAGATGACGATGGAAAAACAGAAGGACAACCCTAAGTTTTCCTTCCTTTTTGGGGGCGAATACTTCAGCTACTACAAGTACAAACTTGCTATGGAGCAACAGCAACGTATGTAGTTAAACTGACACGTCACGATAAAAACAGTATTTTCACATAGAGGTCAATTTAGTATTGCAATATTAAGTTCATTTGATGTTCAGTACTTTGGATTTCTTACTATGATAGAAATATTCAAACTAAAAAAAATGTAATAAAAAAACAGTTTTTAAGGATAAAAGCGAAACAAAACAAAACAACCCAGTACATGCACCAGATATGTTGGCAGAATTATTTACTTTTCTGTTTTGGGGTGAAACTGTTAGTTGAACAGTCCAACATTGTATTGGTAATGTGAATCTGTTTTTGCCATGGATTTTCCTTTTGATTAAAGGCTTCCAGACTGCCTTTATATCATCACCTTGCAACAGTAGTCCTTGTTCTGCTTGCAGCCTTCGTGAGCTGCAGAGTCAGTTCTCTAGCTCACAGAAAATCTCCCCAAAAGCAGAACAAGGATATCAGTCACTAAATGCACTAAAGACAGTGGATTTGGAATCTCACTACAGGATAAAAGGTGTCCAAATTACACTTTGGTCTGGCTTAATAACAACCTGGCAAATCTGTGGAAGGAACTGTTGCAGCTAAATTTGAAAATACAAATCTTTAAATTTAGAATCTCTTCAATAATCAAAGACACATTGGTCGGGTCCAAAGAAAAATTTTCATATCAGACATTTGGGTAGGAGGATTAGCAGATGAAGCACTGTTTTGTAGTATCTTACAGTGCGCTGTCTACACATACAGCTTTTTCGGCAGTCTTCAAGGAGACATCAGTGAATTATAATGTAAATAGCTAAGTGGGCATTGTAGCAAGTTTGCCACTACAGGAACACCTCTATATGTACCTTGCATAAAGTTTTTTTGTTCGGTGTTTTTCTCTTTATTTATGCGCATACAACAAGTTTCAAAATTCTGTCATTCTCCATGCTTTTAGGAGGTTGAGGTGGTATACTTGTGTGGCACCAATCCTGTGTCCACCCCACTTCACAATCTATGTCCCCCACTCGCCAAATGGCCATAAAGGGTCCTTGCCAGTTGGCGAGTAATTTTGAATTGCAAATGGGAATCAAAATTAATAATACGTGTATTTTACCTCCCAGTTTGAACTGTCTGAGTCTAGTGCCTCTGTTGTACAGGTGCTGCTGACATTCCTTTTATCACCTAGCCGTAAAAGGCTGATGGGGTTTCTTGTTACCCTGTTAAGGTCAGAGGTAAAATCTTCTGAGAATCTTGTGGATGCAATACCGCAAGAGTGAAGTCCCCTAAGATTTTCAAATTGATACCACAGGTGCATCTAGTAAAAATGAATGCCATACTTTGAGAACAAGATGACAGGATTTTGAAACTGATACCATAGGTATGTCTGTTAGAAGGCTGAGGGTAGCACTGGCGACTGCCAGTATTTATGATTCAAGTTTGGTGTTTTTGTTATTGTTGTGTAGGACAACAAAATAACAACATTTTGGCAACCCCTGCCCATGCAAAATATTCAAAAAATGTGCAAAATGGCAAATATTTAAAAGTACACGTGAAGAAGAAAAAAATAAATAGAATAAAAGAATACAAAATACATACAAGGTCATAAAAAGTATGTGCAAAGTTAAGAACATTATGAAAATTTAGTAATGACTTCACAAGTTGTATGTGCAAGTTTCACTGTATAGCAATGTAGTGCTATTACACAGAAGTTGTAATAGGAAGGCTAGCAAGCATGTGTAGACTGTGTGTGTATGTGTGTAGCAGCATTTGAGTATAGTTGATGTACATAGGGTCAAGTTCTGTTCTTCTTGACTGTCTGAAATCCACCACAGTCTCCTTGGCTTTGCTGCTGTGTAGTATAAGTTTGTTGATGGGGCACCAGGCGATTAGGATCTACACTTTTTCTCTGTCTGCAGTCATGTTGTTAATGGAGATCAGGCCAATGGCTGTGTGTCGTCCGCAAACTTGATGATGGTGTTTGTCACGTTTGAAGGTTGAACAGGTCTTACAGAACAGGGCTCAGCTCACATCCCTTTGGTACATTGAGGGTGGAGGATGCACGTTTGCCCATCCTGACAGTCTGGGGATAGTTGGTTAAGAAATACGGGGTCCACCTAAAGATGGTCGGGCTGAGACGGTTTGGGAGTTTGGACACCAGTTTGCGGGGACACTGGTATTGAAAGCCGAACTGAAGTCCAGGAAGAGCATTCTACAGTACCTGCCTGTTTGTTGAAGTGCTCTAAGGTGGTATAGAGTGTAAGGCTGATGGCTTCTTCTGTTGACTTTGGTCCAGAGTGGCTGTGATCACTTAATGTGAGCCACAATCAGTCTTTCAAAGCATTTTGCTATCATCAGGGTAAGTGTTGTTGAATGATAGTCATTTAGGCTGCTCTTAGTTCTTTGTTTTGGAATGGGCGCAGTGGTTGTAGTTTTGAGGCATGTTGTGCACTCCCAGAAATCGAAGAGAGGTTAAAGATGTTAGTGAAAACCTCTGCAAGGTGGTCAGTGCAGGTCTGCAGAACACAGTCCAGAACACCATCAGGTTCTGTATCCTTTCTGGGTTTAGTTCTCTGCAATAACACTCCTAATGTCATTTCTTTCCAATGACAGTTCAGGCTGGGCTGGTAGGGGATGGAGGTAGATTTCGCTTGCATCATTGTACCTGCTGAAATGGGCAGAAACGATGCTTCAGTCAGGGAAGGATTACTGCTTACTTTGAGGGTTTTTCTTTTAATAGTCTGTCAAATGTTGTATGGCACATATTATCTGAGTTGTTTTTGTTGAAACTGTCCTGAATCTGTAATTGTTCTTTGAGGCCTCAGTGTGGTGTTTGAGATTTGCTTTTGCTAGGCTATAAGATGCCGTGTCCTGGGCTTTGTAAGCAACATCCCTGATTTTAAGCAGCTCTCTGGCCTCTTTATTGACCCTGGGTTTCTGGTTTCAGAACACTTTGATTAGTTTCAATGTGATGACCAGGTCAGTGCAGAAGTTGATGTAGGATAGAACAAATAATCTCTACACTTCTACATCAGAGTCCATTAAGGTGCTCCAGTCTGTTTATTCAAAGCAATCTTGAAGTAGACAAGGTCTTAATCATTCTGTTGGTTGGTTTAGTTCTGCAAATGAGAGGTTTGTAGGTCAGTACCATTAGCAAGGAGAGATGGTCAGAGTATAGTTGATGTATAGTACATGACTCTGTCTGTCATGAGCACACCCTCCCAACATTGTCCTACCAGTTTATTAAACCTCAGCCAGTCCGTCCCCAAGAATCAAGGCAGACTGTTTGTAAACTGGAAGCAGTGCCCAGAACTGCTGCAACCTGAAGAAAAAGAGCAGGGACAAAGGGGTTAGTTTGGTGTCGGCTTGTTGAAGTGAGGAGCTTCTTCCTCAGAGCAGAGACTGAACGGCTTCCAGCCGGCTACATACTTTTATTTATATTTTAAAATCTAGAAATATCACTTAAATATTACTTTTCAAAAGAAGTCAAAATAGTAATTGTACTAACTATGCACAAATTAAATCTTTAAAAAGCTGTAAAAATATATGAAACTTCCCACATGCAGCTTCATCAATGCTGCTTTTCTCATATTCTTGCATGAGGAGCAATCCAGTCACGTCCTTCCTGTGAGGACAGCAGTTCTTTGAGCAAAACACAAATATTTTCTTGGCATAGATGCTGATCTTTACAAAGAAGCGAACTTAATATGAGAGTAAATTACATTATTTACTGTTCTACAGTTGGCTTTGATTACTGAAACATAGTCACCTAATTAGCAGCCTGATACTAAAAGCAGAGTGTTGTGCAGTTTTGCATGGTGTTCTTCTGTCAGTTGTGTGATACCACTGAAATGCATTAAAGTTTGCCTTTCTCCACTTAGATCCCTCTACCCACGATGGGGAGGAGTATAAATCTAAAGGTATTTATTTAAAATCAGAATTTTCAGATACATTTAAAAATTCTATTTGGAAAGTCACATGTTGTTATGCACTTTTTCCCCAGATGACACAACATTTGTGCTTTAAAATACTTTGGTTTGTTTTCATTTTGCATGTTCACATTTTTTGCTTTTTCAGTGAATTTCTCTTGGCCACATCTTCTTAATGATCTTGATTAAAATGCTTAATCCTCCATCGTGAAGCAGGTTTGATTACATGCACAGATACAAAGACAGACACAAACAGAGCAGGGTGTTGTTTGTCCTGTTTGTCTGTAACATGCTTCTGCTCAAGGCAGCTGTAGAATAAGGGCTGTACAATTTAAAAAATGTCAGTATTGGTTGAACTAGTTTCTGCATTATTTTGTTTATTTCTTGGTACTCAAATTAGTACTACAGTCAGTACTACAGTATTACAGATATTATTGGCAAGTGGCATCAGAAGCTAAATGTTAAGCTAAAACAAAGTTGTTGTTGTTGTTCTTCTTCTTATTTATGATTATTATCATCAGTTCAAATGCTGTAATAAAATAATTCCCAAATATGGGATGAATACAGTTTTATTTATCCAGTAATACAAATGTAATCCTCCTGTGATTACTGGAAAGTTTATGATTATGTTCTGAACATTTGATATTATTAAGTGATAACATTTACTTGGGTTTGTTTCACTTTTTTTCTATAAAATGAATTTTACTGCATTAATATCTTTGGTGATAAATGGCCAACAATAAGACTGTTAACATATTTAATGTGTTCTCTGTTAGTTGAAATTCCAGCAGTGGAAAAATTGGCTTGGTACAATCCACAAAACATTTCTAACATTTATTCTGCATCACAAATTGAACGTAGTCCTTTGAAGTCCTCTGTCTGTACTTGTAACTTTGTAACTTTGAAGAATAGTTCAGTTTGGCTTTGGTAAACATTGCAAAGCGTATCCTAAAAGTATCATTTTAGGAAAGCTATAACATGAGTTTAAATTCAATGTTTCAAAAAAGTTGGAACAGGGCTGCGGTCATCCCTCTGTAGCGTCCCCTCTTTTTTAATAACAGTGTGTAAACATCTGGGAAATGAGGAGACCGGTTAAGACGGATGTGAGCGTATGTTCTAAATATTGCATATACTTTGCAGTATTGATACTGCCTTTCCAAATATACATGCTGTCAAATAATTTGACACTAATGCATCCTCTGCCATCAAGGATTCAGGCTTTTGAACTGACTGCTGATGACAAGCTGGATGTTCCCTCTCCTCTTTAGTCTGGAAGATGCAGCATTTATGGTTTCAAAAACAATTTCAAACTTTGATTCATCTGAACTCTGAGCGGTTTTCTATTTTGCCTCGGCCCATTTTAAGTGAGCTTTGGTCCTGAGAAGACAGCAATGATTCTAGATCATGTTCATATGTGGCTACTTTTCATGATAGAGCTTTAACCTGCGTTTGTTGAGGGGACTGTGAGCTGTGTTCTCACACAGTGATTTCTGGGAGTGTTCCTGAGCCCATGCACAGATTTCCGTCACAGAACCATGCCTGGTTTTATTGCAGTATTTGAAGGTCGTGGGCATCCAATACTGATTTCCTACCTTGTCCCTTGTGCACAGTGATTTCTCTAGATTCTCTGGAATTTTTTAAACAATATTACGTATGAAATTGTTTCTCAGTGTTTAGACAGTTTTTTTGAACATTGGTGAAACTCTGCCAATTTTTTACTTCTGTTGTTGATGCCATCAAATTTAAAATTAGCAAATATTTTTCTTAGGGTGATGTGGCTCAGCAGGTATAGCGGTTTGTCTACCAATCAGAAGCTTGGTGGTTCACTCCTCGGCTTCCCCATTCTGCACGTTTACGTATTCTTGGACAAGCTATTGAAACCCTAGTTGTGTGTGAATGTTAGACAAGTTTAGGGAAAGAAAAAAAAACATCTCTCTGTATATGTTTGACATTAGGTGAATGGGACTTGTAGTAAAAAGCTCAGAGTAAAAAAAAAAAGCTAAATAAGTACTGTCCATTTACCTTTTAAAACTGTAGATGTTCTCAGTTTAAGCATCTGTGTTCTGTTGTGAATAAAGCAAGGATTTAAGAGATTTGCAAATATTGCATTCTTATATGTGTTTTCACTCTTGTATGCTTTTCATACAAGTTTCATACAAGACAGATAGAAACTTTATAAGATTTATATATATCTTTTCCATATGGGTTGGTACAACAGAAATGTATTTTCATTTAATCGAGGAGCCCAGCCTGAGTTTGTGGCGATGCCAACAGGTTACCTCAGCGCACCAGTTGTTTCTGCAGCAATCAGCAGTACCAGGAGGGGATGTGTTGATACTGATTGCATGTCTTAAATTGTGTTCACTCCTCTACTTGGAACATTTCGTGTAGGCCATGTTTTATTTCTTCCTCAGAAAACCATATTGGCAGATTAGCAGTATTTTTTTTTTCTCTTCATGATTTATTAATTGTGTTCATGGCCATCGTGTTGTCATCAGCAGCAGCTATACAAAAGAAACACTTGGTCTTAAGGACTGAACATTCAGTCCTGTTTTTTGCTTGTTTGTTTGTTTGTGCAGAAATATACAACCCTGGTGCAAAAGATGTGGTTGATATCCCCCCTCCACCAATGCCGATGATTGCTCCACCTCCAATACCTCCACCCTCTGCGCCCGCTATAGATGAGCTCATTCAACAGAGCCAGTGGAATCTTCAGCAGCAGGAGCAGCATCTGCACACGCTCAGACAGGTGAAGTGGAAAAAATGTAATGAAAGAAGCACATCCTTCCCTCCAGAAACATTTATTCCCGTGTACTGGTTGTTGATGAACGTTTTTGTTTTGAAGTCTGTCTTTGCTGAATGTTTCAGTTGTCCGGAGTTGATAGGAGAATTTTTTTGTGAGGGCAAGACAATTTCTGTTTTGCACATATAACGTCTTTACAGAAGAGTAACTCTCTGTACTAACAAAACTGGGACCCACTCTTGAATGCTTGGAGAGAAATTAAGTAGTTATCGCTCCATGCATTAAACAAAATAATAATTAAGAGCATGTGATACAAGAAATAATCACGCTGGAGAGATTATATCTCTCGGCTGGTCTGGGAACGCCTTGGTGTTCCCTCGGAGAAGCTGGGGGAGGTGGCCGGGGAGAGGGAGGTCTGGGTTTGGGTGGATGTGATACAAGTGGCTGAGGGGACATCACAAGACCAGTGTTGACCAATAAATTTTCTAATGCTTTCTCAATATAGGAACAGGTCACTGCAGCCATTACTTTAGCTATGGAGCAGCAGACCCAAAAGCTGCTGCTGGAAACGCAGTTGGACATAACAGAATTTGACAACCTGCTTCAACCAATTATAGACACCTGCACCAAAGATGCCATCTCGGTAAGGACATAACGATAGGATTTTCTATGAATCAGGACCACACAGGAAATCATTCTTCCCATTGGCTTTCTCTTTGTACAATTCCTTCATGTAAAGAGTTATTATAATTAGAGCTATTTACATTTCACTTTTGTTTTTCTTCCTCAGGCTGGTAAGAACTGGATGTTCAATAATGCCAAGTCCCCACAGCACTGTGAACTGATGACATCACATCTACGCAACCGCATCACTGCTGATACAGCTCATTTTGAGCTGCGCCTACACCTTATCTACTTAACAAATGACGTTCTTCATCATTGGTACCCAAACCTAAATACACTCACGAACCCATGTAGTTTACTTGTGTACTTAATCTGTGAGAAAACGAATGATGGAGTAGCATTATAAGTAATATGAAAGAGGGTAAAATCAATTTTCCTCACTGCCTTTCTCTTTCCTGTTTGTTTGTTTTTTTCTATGCCTTCTGTTGATACTGCCTAAGGGAAGCATGTATAATGCAAACACAATTGGTCCTGGAATCATTAGCACTGAACTCCATAATTAACCTTTGTATGTGAAGAGGACTCTTACATGAACAAATTGGAGTCTGTTAGATATATAGAATGCAAACCACTGCAGCACAGTACCTTTAATACCTGCAGTATGCTCTAATAGCCAGACAATGTTATGGTCAACAGTATTGAACGCTGCACTGAGGTCCAGCAGGACAAGCACAGAGAGGAGTCCACTTTCAGAGGCCATAAGAAGATAATTTGTAACCTTCATTAAAGCTGTTTTTATGCAATTAGCTCTGAAACCTGCTTGACACGCTTCAAATAAGCCAAAGGTTTGCGTGGTTAGTTTAAAGTGTATGGGAACAGCTTGAAACAGGTAATATGTCAGAATAGTGGAGATATTTTTTTTCATGTTCCAGTTAGGAAGGTTTTTCATATTTTTTTTTTGTTTTTCATCCTTTTTAAAGAATAACTGAGGTACCAAACTGTGAGAGAATTCTAATAATTTGACTCTTAGTTATGTAGCAATAACTATACCCTCTTTCACATTACCTGTCCATACAAAGTTACTACAGTAGCGCTACAGGTAGAAAAATGTAGCAATACCACACGTTGAAGAAGCAGAAACTTTGTCAAGTGGCACACTGTGTATGAATTGGTTTTATCCAGTATTGAAAATGTGCAGTTGTTGGTCTCTGTAAGTTGTACCTTTGACTGTTTTATATTACACAGGAATATTGCAGATGGGGCTGATGAGTGAAGCTCACTCAGCCCATTAACTGAGCTTAGCATTTAGTGTTCTGATGGCAGGATAAAAGCTGTTTCTCAACCTGGCTGTCCTGGGCTTATTGTTGAAGTTTTCTCATCTCTCCAGAGTACGGTCCAGCCAATGATCTTTTGTGCTGTCTAATGACCCTCTGCATGTTTTTCTGCCACCAAGCTATAAGGATACCAGGCTTTGTTGTAGGTCAGGACACTCGCTGTGGTGCTGCAATTAAAAAGCCACCAACAGTTTCTTATCCAGATGGTTCCTTTTAGCATCTTAAGGATGTGGAGTCCTTGTTGGTTTTAACGGTTTTAACAGCCATGTTGTTGTTAGTGGTTCATGACAGGTCCCCAGGAACTTAAAGGAGGACACTCGCTGATTACAGTCCCCGTTGATGTGGAGAGCAACATGTTCTGATTGCTGAAGTCAATCACTACCTCCTTAGTTTTGATGGTGTTGAGCAGAAGGTTGTGTTCTGCTCAACACCATCCTGCCAGTTTTTTTTACCCCGCTCCAGGTACGCAGTCTTGTCCCCTCTGCTGATGAGGCCAATAACTGTTGAATTGGAGAAGGGAGGTGTACAGGAGAGGGCTCAGCACACAGCTTTGCCCATGCTGTGGGTCAGCATGCAGGAGCCAGGCATTGCTCATTTATTGTAGTATTGTAATGGATTATGTGCCTCAATGTTTTGTTTGTGATTCTTTTAATGTTTTACACAGCCAGCGGAAGCAGCAGAAGGATTTGTTGGCAGCGCTGCAGAAAGTTGTTGTTCCAATCTACTGCACAAGCTTTCTAGCTGTAGAGGAAGAAAAACAGCAGAAGATCACCAGGGTAAATACAGGCACATATTTTTCAAGTCTAACACACTAACTGGTTTTTCTTTGCTATAGCAGCTTCAGCTATGAATATTCATTTATATCAGTTTGTTAGTAGCTTAGATCTGGTGATTAAAAGGAAGTTTTTTCTCCTCCATTTATTGAACGGGGAAAAGGTTTCTGTTTCTGACATTCCTCTCCCTTCATAGTTGTTGCAGCTTTGGGAGAAAAATGGGTACTTTGATGAGGAGACCATTCAACAGCTCCAGAATCCAGCACTGGGCCTTGGCCAGTACCAGGTGACAGGATCATGTCTTAACAATCAGATTTTAGAGTTAGACCCAAATATTTCACTTTCAGGATTTTTGTGTTGTAAGTATTGGGCACTATGGTGTTGCAGTGGTTACCACTGTTGCTTCACAGTAAGAAGGTCCCTGCCACAGACTGTTGATCTGTCCAGCTTGTAGCCCTCCCCTCGCCTTATTGGAGCTGGGTTAGGCTCCAGGCCCCTGTGACAAGAGGCAATGTCAGGTGTTTTTATCCCACATGTTGTGAATGCAACCCCCCTCCCAACTGAAAAATTTTCTACCTGGGACACTGCGCTGAGCATACGTGTTTTCATACTACCAGATGGCGGAAGAATATGGTGATAGCAGGAGTTTCAGATGAGCAAGGGAATGAGACTATAATTGAAGAAAAGTCAGACGAGCTAGTTCCAAAGAGTAACAGCCCTGGATCAATAATCTGGCAGTTGTTTGGATTTTCATAAGGATGTCAAACAAAATGCCGTAATTTGCAAAAGATGCCGTAAAGTTATTGCTGCAAAAGGTAGCAATACCACGAACGTGTTCCACCACCTGAAAAGCCATCCACTGCAAAATGAAGAATGTTTTCAATTCACCATGTCAACACCTCCCCACACGCCAAAGAAAACGTTAAACCAGCCAAAAAGAAAAAGTGCTGCCAGAGTTCTACATATCAGCAAGAGAAAATATATCCCAGTAGCTAATAAATGTGACCTTCTTCCCAACAACTACGGCTCTATGGACCAGCAGCAGTCGTTGGAATCTGTCAGAAAGTAGTCAGGTGTGCATCACCACGGATAACAGGAGTAACATAATAAAAACAATATATATGTATCTATCTATATATCGATCTATTGATCGATCTAGATTTGTGTGTGTGTGCGTATGTGGATATATGTATATATGTTTTTCCTCATATTATCCGGCCCCATTCATGACTTTTTTTGTATTTTTCCCCACCATAGACTTTATCTGGTATTCTGTTGTTTCTTTCAGGCGTCCCTGATAACAGAATATGCTGCAGTGGTGCAGCCAGTCCAGTTGGCCTTCCAGCAGCAGATCCAGTCATTGAAGACTCAGCATGATGAGTTTGTTGCTAGTCTGAAGCAGCAACATCAGTCACAACCGCAGTCTGCCCCTGTAGGACAGCTAGCTGCCCCAGCTGAACCGGAAAAGCCCCCCCCTATGACTACGCAAGCTGGTGAGTGGAAAAACACTCAACCAAAGCAGAGGCACAGCCTCATGCATGAGATCATGTCAACTGCTTATACAGTTTGGGAAATAATTATTTGATCCTCTGCTGAATTTGCGAGTTTGGTCACTTGCAAAGAAATTAACAGTCTGTAATTTTTATGGTAGTTTAATTTTAATGGAAAGAGACAGATTATCAACCAACAATACAGAAAAAACACATAAATACATAAACGTTATAAACTGATTTTCAGTATTTGATCCTGTTGTGGAAATTTTGTGCATTAAATAAAGGAGGTTATACTGCTGGAGTTGTCTTGTGAGCAGTTTATTCTTACAAGTACTTACAATTCAGTACAAGGCACTGATGGTATTGTGCTGAGGAATTGACCAAACAAAGGATCCAACAGGGGAGAGATGCAGGGATCTGATTCATACTCAAAATTTCTCTTTCTAAACATGGCGTGAACTAATCATTTGATTCGGGTGTGTTGACCCAGGGGGATATCTAAAACCTGCAGGATACCGGCCCTCGAGGCCTGGAGTTGCCTACCCCTGAGATAAACTTTGCGACTCATTTTTTGTCTCTAAAAGCAACATTTCCCTGCCTGGGCTGCCTTGCACCGCTGCATGTTAGTCTGTTTCAATTGAGGCCTGTGGGGCACTATCAGCCAATGAAACAATAGACACATTTCTGTGTTTTTGTAGATGAATATTTCACACTTTAAGGCTGCCTGTTTATTTAAGGGAGATGACCAATACAATATAATCACAGATGATAGATTAAATAGATTTTAGGTAGATGCTTATGCATTTTTAAAGTCTTATATGTTGAATTGATGTCATCTGTTTAGAGCCCCTGCCAGTCAGTGCTGTTCTCCATGCTCGTGTTATTGTCCATGACGTTTTAGCACAAACACTTTAAAGGTGATAATTTAGGACTTCAGCAATAATACAGACAGCAATGTAGTTAAACCTGACCAAGTCCATGTATGTTTGTTTCATGATGTCTCTTTTTTGTGTTCAGGAGATGTAAAGCTTCCCATGTCAGGTCCTCCTCCAGGAGAGTTTGATGGCTCTTCATCCAGACCACCAGACCCCAGCAACCCTAGTGGTCCCTCAGATATACCCCCCACAAAGCCTGCCTGGTATGACCCTCAGCATATGAGCCCCTGGAACCCCAACCAGCCGGTAAAGACCTTTTTGTGTGTGTTTCTTGTCTGTGTGTGTGAGTGAGGGAAAATATTGAAAGATACAGAAGGAGAGTGCATATTTGCTGGATATTCTCAACTACAGTGGTGTGTACAGCCCTCCCTGATTTCCTATTTTTTTTATGTTTATCACACTTAAATGGCTCAGATCATCAAATACATTTGAATATTAGACAAAGATAACACAAGTAAACACACAATGCAGTTCCTAAGTAAAGGTGTTTATTATTAATGGGGAAACAATTAAAACCTACATTGCCCTGTAGCTGGAGAGGCAGTTAGGACAGAGGGCGATTTTACTCTAGGTGAACATTAAGAGCGTGCAAGAAAGAGCCAGGTAACAGCTAACAACTCTCAACCGAAACATAAAGTCTTCCAGGGGTGTACAGTGCAATGAAAAAAACTGTCTGTGAGCTTAATTATTTTGTATACGTAGTATTCATGTGACAGCTTTGCAAGCCACTTTGTTATTTTGGGAAGCCATAGTACGTCACAATGTGACAGAGTTGTAGTCTGTTGTTATAACATATTGTTATCGTATCAATGTAATTAGCCTTAAATTCTACAACAGTTCCCACACTTCCTTTGTGTTTGCCACCAGTCCACTGATAGATAGTATGTGCCGGCAGCTCGGAGAATCTAATGGAATTTGAAAGAGGTGTTTTCACGCTAAAAAAAACAGGGTGATATTTTAAACTTTTAAAAGAAAACCAGCCCATCAGAATAAAACAAACACAACGTGCACCAACTGAAGGTGCGTCTGACAACAAAGGAAAGGTTTATAAGTACAACAGCGAGTTGGAAAAGGAGTTTACGTGGCTGATTTACGATGCTAAGGCACAACTTTTATTTTGTCAGCACTGCTCAGAAACAGCAAAAAAGAGTAAATCAGACATTCTTTACATTGTGGGAAACAAGATATTTTAAAGAGTTGATGTTGAAAAACACCACATTGCATGCTTGTGCTGCAACTTTTGAGCTGTGCTACAAAACTAGCAACCTTTTTAGCACCAGTGCTATAAGCTAGGAATGTTAACATACATTCAGTTTTATATGTTATATAATTTATATATGAAATAGAAGTCGGTCACACTGGCCTCACTTGACCTATCCTGGGTCACTCTGGATGACGGCTACAGGGGAAAAACATCTTCTGACAGAATGGACGTGTCATTGTGGGCTTATTCCTATCATTAATGCTGAAGGAATGCTAGTGTAGCCACACTACATTGTCACCCTGGCCTTGCCCATCTAGTGACATGTCTCTTAATCATCACAGTTCCTCACTTTGCAATTTACTGGCAAGCTCAGGTCGTGGTCACATCCTTTCTGTCTCGGCTCTTCCCCAGCCTCCTTTTGATCCAAACCAGCCACCACCACCTTGCCCTCCTTGGAACAGCCATGAGGGGATGTGGAATGATCAGCGGGACCCAGGAAACTGGAGTGGAGGTCCTGGTAGAGAAGGAGGTCCTTGGAGTGGTCCAGGTGGATCTGAGCACGCTCCTCCATCTTGGAACTCGTATGACCAGCAACCACCATGGGGAAATCAGCCGGACCAGCCTCCCTGGGGTCAGAGGGAGCCACCATTCCCTCCACGCATGCAGGCATGTGGGAGAACATTTCTGTGGTTTTACTTCCTCTGCTATTTACTTTGCATTTCCAACTTACATTTACACTGCATCCTTTTCTGAATTTGACTTGAGTTTCTTTTGTTGCAGAAAAGATGCTAGAGCTTCTTACTTACATGAATGATTGTGGTGTTTCACTTGCATTTTTACAGCGGCCGCCCCATTTCAGAGGACCTTTCCCTCCTCACCAGCAGCCACCTCCTTTCAACCAGCCCCCTCCGCCCCCACACGGCTTTGGACGTTTTCCCCCTCGCTTTATGCAGGAAGACTTTTCTCCCAGACATCACTATGACAGACCACCCTATACACCACATCGATTTGACTATGCTCAAGGAGAATATCCTGGAGGTTAGCGGAGAGACCCAGAGTCATAGATCAGAGGAGATGCATGTTTCTGCGCCTTTTAATTTTCAGGTGTATTTTAACAGTCTCCAAATATGTTTGACAGATATGCCGGGTCCTCCTCCCCACCACCATCCCAATCAGAGGCTTCCTCCACCAGGTATGGGAGCTGAACATCCTCCCTGGGGTGGAGGCCAGCACCCGGAATTTGGCCCACCGCCACATGGGTTTAATGGCCATTCACCTCACATGCGTCATCGCCAGCATCCAGTGCAAGATGATCCCAGTCTGGTGCCAAATGTGCCCTACTTTGACCTGCCAGCTGGTCTCATGGCTCCGCTTGTTAAAGTAAGTCCTCTGCTTCTCATTGTAGGACAGGGGAATGAGAATAAATACAAATATAAAAAAACAGTAAAAACTGCTACCATTATGGTTCAAGTAATGCATTTCTTATATAGTTTTGTTTTACTATTTTCTCCCAATCACACACATCCATACAAGTGTAATTTTTTTTCATACACCACACAAAAAGAGGTACCGTGGTGGCTTTTGCAATTTTTAGCATGGATTTTGTACTGAAGTGGTATCCAGAATAGACACATTTAGCCCCAATAAAGTTTGCATGCCTTATGGTCTTACTGTTACTGTCAACTGTACAGCTTGAGGACTGTGACTATAAACCTCTGGACCCTAAGGACATTCGGTTACCTCCACCCATGCCACCCAGTGATCGCCTGCTAGCTGCCGTGGAAGCTTTCTACAGCCCTCCATCTCATGATCGGCCTAGGAATAGGTACGAACATACATTTTTTGTGCAAGACAGTTAAACTTAATTTAATAATAGAATTTAAAATATAAATCAATGAATATGTGATTCAGTTTAACTCTTATTTATTTATATAGCACCAAATCATAACAGGAGTCACATTAAGGCACTATATAATGCTGGGTAAAGACCATAAAATAATAAAGAGAAAACTCCAACAATCAGATGACCCCGTCTGAATGTTGGCATTTTCTGCTGACAAGCACTTAGTGTCAGTGGAAAGGGAAAGTTAAGGATAACTCGTGAAAATTGCAGAGTGCTGTATAAAAACATAAAAAGTAAAAGTAAAAAGTGGTGAGTGAAGAAGAAATGCTCAGCAAAGAACTACGTGTAATAACCAATTACAATAGTCAAGCCTAGAAGAAATAAATATCATCTGACCTCATAGGTAGATGAAACTGGTTACCTTCTGAATACCAATACAAATGTATGCTGCTTATTAGTAATGCTGCTTAAGGGAAGCATTTATAATATAATACTAAAACAGTTGGGTCACATGACTGCTTTTTAAGTAATGGCTTCTTACCTCTACCTTAAAGGCCTAAAAGCTAAATAATAGAAATCATACTTAAGATTGAAGCATTATGTAGGTAGAACTTCTATGAAAAGTCTTGTAGGGACTGTCACTAGTTTTGAAAGTAGCTGTATATAATATGTCTGTAAGATGGCTATGACTAATTTTTTCTCCAGTGGTTAAACATTTGTGAAGAAGATCATAAAGTCAGTACAGTTGGTGTAAACGGGGTCTCTTTGTCAGCCAGGCTATGGTGCTAAAAAGAAATGCAGGGTTGTTCGTATTTTGTTCAGTCAGTAATTGTAAGTAAGATTTACTAGCCTTATAGAAACTAAATTAGTGAGACACTTCCTCTCCAGCTTACAGGTTATCTGCTTTAACTTCCTAAGACCCGAACTCTTTCATGGCATGCATTTTTAATTTCTATTTGCTATTTGGGCTGATTGGGCAAATTTAGTATTATGGTTTAGACAACCCAAAATGTGATGTTCACATATGTGGAGGTTAAGGTGTTTGTTTGTGAATTATATCAATTATACCTGGTCGAGTGTTCTGCAACCAGGACAAAAACCGCATTGTTCCTCCTGTATGAGAGATCCGACTAGCAGACAAACTCTCCGTTCGAGCAACCTGGGATAGACTTTAAAGTCTGAGAAGTGTGATCCCCTATAGTTGGAGCACACCCTCGGGTCCCGCTTAGTCTTTTGTAGCTGTTTATCTGCAGAAATTGCTGTAGAAACTGGGTGAAGTACTACTACTTTGTTTAAAAATTGCAGTGAATATTGATTACACATATTTGTGGTTGGTTCCTCATTCAGTGAAGGCTGGGAGCAGAACGGCCTGTATGAATTCTTCAGGGCTAAGATGAGGGCCAGAAGGAAAAAGGATCAGGAGAAACGTAACAGGTAAGCTTTTCCTTCATAATAGAGTATTCTCTCTTTTTCCATCTCTCTCCTGTGCTACAAATATCAAAACACAACATATTTAACTGATTTTTTTAAACTTGACTGTTGTTTACTAATCATGACACCAGGTGTCATTATTCACGTCACATCTTTATAATACAGAAAAAAGAAATAAAATAATGTTTATTGCTTCTTCTTTTAGTTTTACAGCACGTTGGTCAATGATTGTTGTTTTCAAATGTGCTTAATAAAGTGAATTGTCTTTTTAAAAGGAGGATGTCATGCTTTTCAAAGTAAAACCCAGAACTTTGTATGTTCTGATAGTTTTATCATTTCTCCAATGATGACTGGTTCTAGTGGTCGTGGAGGCAGCCGCTCCAGGAGTCGCTCTCGCAGCCGAGGGAGGTCTTCGTCTCGCTCCAGCTCTCACTCCTCAAAGTCCTCCAGGTCACGCTCCCGTTCATCACGTTCCCGCTCCCACAGCCGCTCTCGCTCCTACTCACAATCCAGGTCTGTATCCACACATCAAAGCATGGTACCTTCAGTCGTGATTTGTTAGATCCTGCGAAGTCTCATTCACAAGCTATGAAATGCACTCTATTTCCAGCAGTTCTTGATTTTCCATCGTGTTTGCTTACCCCAGCTCTCATTTGGTCATTTTGTTTAATAATCCGCTTGATCATTTATAATCAAACATTACTGCGAAATGAAAGTGGAATATTTTCAAATAATCACGGCCAAATTTAACACCAGGAACTTGATGAGTTGGACTAAAGACCTGTAAATACAGCAGATCCTGTGACAATGGCTTCTTGATATTATATTTCTATTAGGTTTACGCAGTGAAGCCACAATGACTCTGCATAATGCGTGTACATGGAAGTCTTTGTGTATCATTAATTCAATGCATTTCTGACTGAATAATTTTATTTTTTTTTTCTTTTTTTGTAATTGAAGTCTCTTATTTAAAAACGATGCTGTTGGATATAATGAATGTGTTTCGGGCTTTGAGTGCTGAATATGACTGAAGTGTGATTCATGTTACCTAATTTGTGTTCAACCAAACTCTTTAGGTCCAGGAGTAGATCCAGGTCATCTCGTAGTCACTCTCGCTCCAGGTCTCGATCCCGCTCACATTCACCCACCAAGCGACGGCGTGGCGCAAAATCTCGGAGCTCCTCTCCTCCGTGAGTTTCTTTACTCCTCTTTCATCATATGCTTTGCTAAAAAAAACCTTTATCCTGTAGTGTAATGATGCATTTCTCTCGTGCTTTCTGTAGTTCCACAGCAGTGCTGGGCACAACTTCTTCAAAATTACCTGCAGACACCAGGTTAGGGGAGGAGAACAAAGGTCATCAGCTACTGATGAAGATGGGTACGCTCTAATTATTATGATTTACATTTTATTTTAGTTTTTAAATCCAGTAAGGATGTTTGAAGAATGATATTTTTGGATTTTTTCTGAAGCGACCTAAAATGACTTCCTGTCTGCTGTAGGTTGGAGTGGCTCAGGGGGCTTGGGGGCTAAAGAACAGGGCATCCAGGACCCCATTAAAGGAGGCGATATCAGGGATAAATGGGACCAGTACAAAGGTGTGGGGGTCTCACTGGATGACCCTTACGAGAACTATCGCAGGAATAAAAGTTACAACTTTGTAGCTCGCATGAAGGCAAGAGAAGAAGGTACATAAAATCTTTTATTCAGGAATTACTCACAAAAATAAATTGGGTTGTCCCTTACCTAACTCCTCCTTTTCTGTTTGTTTTTCTTTCTGGGTCAGTCAATCGGGAACCCCAGGACGCCCCTTCAACTGACTGATGCAGTCAAATTGTGTGAAACAACCCTCTCCTCCTCACCACCGCCACCACAGATCTAACTTTTTTTTATTTTAGTTGGTTTTCCACCCAGGATTTGTCACTAGTCCCAAAAGTCTAAACTAAAGGAGAACACTATGCATTTTTAAGTGTCTAAGAGTGCAAGGAGCTTTTGCTGCCTCTAAGTCAAGTTTGTCCAAGCAGAACATGTACAGTGTGTAGATGTGACAATTGACGCTAACAATAGCAACATCACAGGAGTCAGCTAACACATTTTTGTTCAGCTTGGACCCTCGAATAACTATCTGTTTAATTTTATTATATTTGACTTCCAGTGTTTCATGTAAGTGTTCATAATTCTACAGACTGAAAACAGAGGTCTCAGTCACACTCAACATTTAGGAGCTAGGACATAATAGAAGTGAATAATGTGTATTAAAGCAGTGCTTTTCTTTCACTTGCGGTGGATTGTCAAAATAATTCTTTAATAAATAACAAAAGCAGTGCTTTTTCATAAATTATTCCGGCTCTTTTTGTGGAGGAATTGGTCTTAAAGAAAACTGCTTACTGTGGAAGGTGTCAAGAGTCTCAGAAGAGTGGGTTCTGAAAACAAGATGTGGCCAGATCACTATTTGTAAAACAGAAATGTCATATGTGAGAACTGAGCATTTAAGGCGAAAGTAGAATAAAGGTATGGTTGCTCTTCTTGTGAATCTTATTTTTTAAGCAGCTTATTATTGTGACATTTTCTTTTTCAGGTAATGACTTCTCTTTAGATATGTCTTTTAGTTGTAGTGTTAAAATGAAGCTCAACAATTCCACTGTATTTTTATCCACAAGCACACTGTAGAGACATGATCTAAATAAACAATTCTGACAGCTCACAATGGGCCTTTTCTTTCTGTTTGCACGATCAATCATCACACTGTCCTGCTGGCTCGGCCATCTCCAAATGGTCACCAGCATGCAGTGTGTAATCTTTTTTTCCTGGCAATTTTTAATTCAATCAAAAGTGTAACTGATAGGTAATGAAATCCTCAAATTATATGATCCTAAGATTCTGCATTACTAGTTGTAAAAGTCCGTCTGTCTAATATTTGTTATTTTGACCTAGCACAGCGTTCTTACTGAAACTCATAATTGTGCCTTTTCCATCATATTGCCAAATGCAATATTTCTGGACCCTTTTAAGTTCATAGCTCTTTGATGAACACTATATTCAGTATATACTGTATTCTTTCATGGCTGCTACTCAGATGGTTTTGTATTTACACTCAAACTTGCCTAAGAAAAATATTTGATACACGATTGTCTCATTTGATATAAAGTCCAAGTGTTGACATTTTAAACTCAGAAAGGCAAAGATCAGCTTTACAGAGACAGCATAATGTTCTCTTAAAAGGCCTTTTTGAGCAGAAAAAGTATCGTAATAATCTGAGATATTGGATTTTTGGATTTTGTTGAACCTGAAGAGGAGTATATAAGGCTCAGTCTGCAGCGACAGCCTCTCAAAGGATTAGAGATTCTGTGTGGCTTGAAAACAAGAGGTTTATCCAGCAGTATTTGTACATGAATGAGCAGAAGTGTTAAGTTTTTTGGGACTTTATATTGTAAATAGCCTACAATATTAGAAAGAAATGCCAAAAGCTACACAAACTCCTATGGGCAAGCACTTGGTGACATTAGGAAGGAAACAAGAAGAAGCCTCAGGGGGACCCAGGCCCCTGGAAGGACACCTATCACTTGTCTGCCACAACCAATTCGGGGTAAGAGGCAAGAAAAAAGTCAAACTAAAGCAAAGAACCAAACTTTTATAGTTACTGGTGATTAAGTACAGTAGAGGTGTATGAACACAAAGAGAGGAGTCAAGAAACAGTCATTGTGTCATAGGAAGCCCCCGTGCAGCCTAAACCTATGGAAGCATAAATAAGCTGTGGTTTAGCATCACCTGTGATCCAGCGCTAACTAGAAATTTCTAAACCTAGATTCAAGTTGCAGAGAGTCTCTCTCTGTTGAATCCAAACGGGTTCCAAAGTAAAGCGGGCTGGACAGCTGAAGACTAGCTCTGTGCTCTCACCCATTCTTTTACAAATATGTGTAAAAGCAGTCTGCATGCATAGGTGCTTGATTTATACATCTGCTGCCATTAAGTGGTCTGAGTAACTGAATTCAATGATTTAGATAAAGTGCAATAAAGGCAATAAAGTGTATATAAGTGAAACAGAACATTAATTGGTACTGTAGGTGCTGCCAGATGTCTGTTTGTCTATCCATCCATCAAGATGACCTTAAGAGCTTTGAAAGCACTCAAAATAAAATGTATTATCATTATTAGTGGAGCTCGAGTATGTGAAGTTTCACCAATCTATGCAACTTCATGCTATAAAAATACTGAAGCATGTCCCTCATAACTCTTGATGGAGAGTTTGAAAACTTACTGCTTCAACACACATGTATGCAAGTAGTGACAACTAAACAGAACAGTGCATATAGTCATTTTATGTTCAGAAACCGTAAACTGTAAAACAGTCTCTACTCAGAGGAAAACTGCATGTATTACAGTTTTTCCCAATTGTTTACACACAATTACTTGGACTTCAGACACAATGACTACAACATGTAACTGATGCACCCCCTGAACCAATTCTGCTAAACTACAAGTGCAATTTCTGCTTTATACTTTTTATATAATTGCAGTTTTAAAACACACTTTCTACAAAGGGCAACAGGTGAGCTCTTCTGTTTTGGAGCAATTGAAAACGTTTTCTGCCTGGAGATGGAAAGTGTATGACCGAAATCCACACACACGTATACCCCTTTTCCAAGCTATAAAAGATGCATGTGGAGATATAGCTATATAATAGTTGATGCTGTTCATGGCAGGATTCGCCATGCTAGGCCATATTTGCCCTGCTTATCAGCCAGAGCAAACATTGCTTGTGATGTCGATGTGGTGCTGCGGCCGGACCGAAACAGAAGAGAGGAGGTTTTTTTTGTTTTGACTGTTACTGTATTCAGTAAATTCTTCTGTTGTTTGTATATGTAGACCACGGTATGTGCAACTTTGTGTTGGTTGGGATGAACACTGTGTACATTGTTTTTGTGGGAAACACAGTAAAATATATTTGGTACCATGTATTTGTGCGTTTTGTATACAATCATTCTGAAAGCTTTTACAATGCACTTATGTAGGCCTGTGTACTGTCTTTAGTAAGTGTAACACTGAACAAAAAAAGGCTTGCAGTAAGTCATTATGACGACTGGAGAAGAATCATAGTGTTTTACATTAAGCACATCAGTGTTCAACTGGTTCTTATAAATGTGGTCACCCATCCTCCAACCTCACTGGCACTGCCCCTTGAGCTCACTGCACCACCCCTCTGCTGTAGCTGAGTGTTTGGGTATTATATCTATAGCAAGAGGAGGAAATGGAGACAAAGTCAGCAGGGGGAGCATCGCTGTTCCTAAATCCTGACAGAAACTTTCCCACAGACAATAGCTTTAAAACAGCAACATTACTCGTGCACTTATACCAGCAGGATATCTGATGACCAGCAGAGCATCGTTTTTGAATGCCAAGATCTTGTTCTTCCCATTTGGTTCAAATGACATTCCGATGTCATTGCTGTAGATGTTAGTAGTGTGTGCAGTATCTTGTACAGTTTTTGGCATTCCAGGATCCACGTGTGAAGCATTGAGTCATACGCTTTCTTGTCTTATAGTCTCAAGTGACTACTCTGTCTACCAGTAGCTGGTGTTTTGTCCCTCTGGTGTTTCTGCCAATCCCTTTCTGTGCTCCACTCATGTATTGAGCCATCTTAGCTGCCATGTTTCCTGACAGGAGCTTCCATATATTTTGATGAGGCAGATTATTGTCCTATAGTTGGATAGGCCCGGTCCCTTCTGGGATCGGGACTGTCCTGCCTTCAGTTATGTATCTATTATTATATATCTATTAGCAGCTGGTTCATTTGTGCTTCCAG